AATACCAACCTCAAGAAGATATCGTAGAAGTACAATAGGTGCCCATCCTTTTTCTTTCCCACATCCTTCTCCACTTCAACACACAAAATGTTTTCCATACCAGACAGGAATCACTGAATGTATATTTGATGCAAATTTAAAAGATCTTATCTGCGCAAATCCAGTGATATCATCCTCTGGCAATTCTCCATTTACCGCAACTCGAACAAGGTAGTGTGTTGGATGTCCGAACCTATTGAACCATGGTGTACATTCTCCTTGACCTCGCATGCTTGCTGGATAATATTCTTTCGTATCGATACATACGATATCATTGACGTGATAATCGGGTGCATTCTAGCGTCCACCATGCCTATGCTTGACACAGGCTTGCCTTATATTTTCATTTACTTTTCCAAATATTGGATACCATTCATTGATTTCATTAGCGAGTTGGCTTCCAGCATGGTTTGCACCAAATACTTGCTCTGCTAAATCAACAACTTTTAGAGACTCTGAAAGAATCGATTTCTTTTCCTTATTAATTATTCCTTTCTGATATTGCCAATCTATTATATCATTGACCAGTTGTTTGCATGCTTCTATAATTTCTGTATGCTTTTTCCATGTTCTAAATATGCGACCATCTTCTAGAACAAACTGGGATATTGTTTGACTCGTATCCCCTACTTCTATAAGCCAGATTGCTTGAGGTCCCCTGAGGGTATTACTGATAGCTTCCCATGTATCACCCTTATAATATTCGACCATTCGATCTCTTGGGAAGTGCTGGTTTCTTGGAAATGCATGGCCATTATGAACTACTATTCCGATTTCTTTATACTTACCTGATCGATACTTTCCACTATTAAATATAGTACTATGAGTTATATCACGTAATTTAATCGGTCATTTAAGAATTTTTTCTAACTCTGCTACATCTTGTACTGGAGCACCTGGAATGCGCATTTTTTTCTCCCAATCATTTATTTTTTGCCGACGAATTTCTGTGAGTCCATATCCTCGCTTAGTATTATCAAAATGCTCTATTACTCGTTGAGCTACACAGTAAAATGCTCCATCTTTCATAGGTATTAATCAATTGATATCTGGCTTTCAGATTCAATATAATCCATATACTACTGCATTACTGTCAAGCTTCCCTACCTCAGATTGCTCACTAACTTCTCTAACCAAAAATTTTTTATCTATTCCTACCCAAAATCCTGGTTTTATTTTTTTGTAAGTATAATGTTTGGACCACCCTCGACGTATTTTCCACCTGCCTTTTTTGATTCACGAATAGGCTCATATTTATCAATAATTTTAAAAGCAATTTTTGTTTGAGATTTATCTCCATATACAGAATCATCTCGAATGAATTTTACCCTTATTAAGAACTCGCCATTATCGAT